GCGCAACCCTCCCTACGACATCCCCTGCACTCGTGCAACCCCCTCAGGTGCACAGACTTCTTTTTTTTTTTTTTTTTTTGGTAAGTGCTTTGAGCGCGGGGGGGAGGCATAAAGTGCGGCCTAGCTCAGTTGGTTAGGCACGCAAGTGGCATTCAGGAGGTTGTGGGTTCAAGCCCCATGACAGCCTGCAGCGCACTTAGTGCCAACGAACTGGGATAGTCCTCTGGATACTCCTGATCGGTATTAGTGGAATCTATGACCAACATGGGTGTGAGTGTGAGCGCGAGTGGGTTGTGTGTGGTGTGTGGGAGAGTGTTGGCCATAGCTACTGCTGCTACTCGATGAGGGGTGGGGGACGATGAGAAAGGGAGGCGCAGCTACTGGCAGATCTCGGTCTTTGCGTTAGCCAGACCCCCACTGGCGGCCCCAACCCTATACCCTAAACATTAGTGGCAAGGGGCAACATGAAATCTCCCGTTCACAGTGAGAGGAAACTATGCTTGCAGGGGTCCCCTCTAGATAGCCTTAGGAGCAGGTAGTGAAAGGCAAAAACAGAAGTTGAGAGAAGATTAGAAAGAAAAAAAAAAAGTGCGCGCTCATACGGTTTCATAGGCGGGTGTGAGCGGCTGCAAACTGGTGAGACCTGGGGATCGACCCCAAATCCCAGCAGACAGCCCGACTTCGGTGGAAACATGCTCACACACCTTTCAGCTGGCAGATTTCAAATGACAGATGATGGCAGATGCCAGGTGTCGACTGAAGACAGAATTCAGTTTGACTTTCTTGAGAGAGAGAGGAGGTGCGGCTTTACGAACAGGGTCTTTTCGGCCGCAGGATTGTGGACAGCACCTACAAGCGTGACAGTGTATATTTCCATGTCCCAGCGGACGATTCATTCGATTTTGCTCATTCTGTCGATGGAAACAGCGCGAGGCCAGCTGCGAGGGTCCCTATGTTAGTCTTCTCTGTGTCATTCAGAATCAGAGAACGGGTGATGTAGCCAACCTCAGACTCAAGAGGAACTGAGCTTGGACAGGCAAGAGAACAGGTCAGATTCAAGTGGAAACGGGGTTTGGACGATCAGGCTCAAGCTAACAGGTAAAATGGACTAGGTGCATCGCACCCAAGTGCTCAAACAGGGGAACTCAGCCGGCACCCAAGCAGTTCGCAACCAGAACGCAGCTCAACTTGGACTCGGTTAGAAAGCAGTGGACTGAGGGACTCGGCCTGCTGGTCTTGGTCAACTTGAGCCATCAGAAACTGGACCAACGAACAGACGTCAGGTGAAAACAGAAACTGCAAGCTCAGGACTTAACCCGTTGGATTCAGCGGACTTACATTCAATCAACCGACTCCGCAGGCTCAGAAAAAGAACTTACCAAGGTCTGGACTCGGACATGGGTTTGATCCGAGACCAGTGAGATTGCCGAGAATCAGGCTCCGAACCTGTTTGCAGGCATCAGAACAGTCAGTGGGTTATTGGAGTAGAGGGATCTGATTACAATCTGACAGAATAATCAGAAGCCGGTTGGACTTATCGGGCTTCGGCATCAGGCGTAGAATACTGTATTACACAAGACGCCAGCCCGAGAACAGTTGCCTACCACAGTTGAGAGACTGGCAGTCCGAGCGCTAAGTCCTAAGGACGATGAACTGTTGAAGATGCTGCGAGGGTTTGAAGAGGAATTAATAGGGGAAACGAAAGGAGACCGATTGACACCCAGAATAAAAACAGCCTTAGTTCCGTCAAGATTTGTGCGAGACGAGACAGACTTTGATGTGATGAAGTAGATAGTTACGGGAAGACAATTTCAGCGATCCTGTCCATATAGTTCTTACCTTCTCGTTGGTTGACTTTGCATCTGAGTTTATCAGTGCTAACCACATTGTTTGCAGGTTGCAGGAGCCGGGAAATAGCTCTCCCGTGGGTGACAGACGCGGGGAAGATCTTAGAGCTGATTTCATGTGCCGACAGAACCCAGTCACCGGTCGACACCGGGCGGCCCGGACCGGGCAGGGTCCCGGGCAATCCGAGCGCATAATACTTTAATAAATAGAAAGAAAAAAAAAAATCCGAAGAAAAAATATGTGGTGTAAAATTGCAATACAAACGACTTTTGGCTGAGGTCCACCTCGAAATTCCTTGTTAATTTCAGGATAAAAATAAATGAGAAAACATGAGTCCAAATGTACCCTTTGAAGCCCTTTAGCCACCAAGTGGTTTGTCAGCACCAAGTGGTTTGCACTAAGTGGTTTTTACCAAGTGGTTTGTCAGCACCAAGTGGTTTGCACTAAGTGGTTTTTACC